AGAGTGAGAGAGAGAGAGAGAGAGAGAGAGAGAGAAGAGAGAGAGAGAGAGAGAGAGAGAGAGAGAGAGAGAGAGAGAGAGAGAGAGAGAGAGAGTGAGAGAGAGAGAGAGTGAGAGAGAGAGAGAGAGAGAGAGAGAGAGAGTGAGAGAGAGAGAGAGAGTGAGGAGAGAGAGAGAGTGAGAGAGAGAGTAGAGAGTGAGAGAGAGAGAGAGAGTGAGAGAGAGAGAGAGAGAGAGAGTGAGAGAGAGAGAGAGAGTGAGAGAGAGAGAGAGAGTGAGAGAGAGAAGAGAGAGTGAGAAGAGAGAGAGAGAGTGAGAGGAGAGAGAGTGGAGAGAGAGAGAGAGTGAGAGAGAGAGAGAGAGTGAGAGAGAGAGAGAGAGTGAGAGAGAGAGAGAGAGTGAGAGAGAGAGAGAGAGTGAGAGAAGAGAGTGCGAGAGAGAGAGAGAGTGAGAGAGAGAGAGAGAGTTGAGAGAGAGAGAGGAGAGTGAGAGAGAGAGAGAGTGAGAGAGAGAGAGAGTGAGAGAGAGAGAGAGTGAGAGAGTGAGAGAGTGAGAGAGTGAGAGAGAGAGAGAGTGAGAAGAGAGAGAGTGAGAGAGAGAGAGAGGTGAGAGAGTGAGAGAGAGAGAGGAGAGTGAGAGAGAAGAGAGAGTGAGAGAGTGGTGAAGAGAGTGAGCAGAGTGAGANAAAAAAAACGCATGGGGTTTATTTCGATGGCCTCGCAAAAGTCACGGATGCTTCGTCAATATGGTCGATCATTTTGGTCTTTATGGAAAATATTGATTTTAATTGTGATATTTTCATTGAACGATCATGCCTGATCTAGCCTTTCCCATCCTTCTCACCAAAGGCCGTTCCTTTGAAAATTCGCATTTCTTTTTTAAAATCATCGCATTTTCCATTTGCACAACCATGTAAGAATTCATTATTATCCTCTTCAAGATTTTAAAAGCATATACCAGAGGTGTATGTTAAAATTAGGTTAGGAATCCGTTTGGAGAGACTGTTCGAAAGGATTGGGAAAAAGTATGTCAATCTGGGGCGTGCATATTCTCACTTGTAGAAAATAGAATAAGATAAATGACCTGAAGTTCTTATAATAACTACGTAATTGTTTTATAAGTAAGTGTTGAATTTTTTGACAAAAGAGGAAAAAGAGTAATCATATTATATCTCGTATCTCTTATGTTATCGCACAAATGAAAAAATTATGATAAGAAGGAAATTATGTAGGTTTATTAACAATATTTTTTTTTTTCTTTAGCACAGCAATAACGACTCTATGGTCAACTTTAATATCCTTTAGAATGTTTTAAATATTTTAAGAATATTTCTTTTAGCGGTCATGACTCTAAGAATGAAATGGCCATTGCTTCAAATACCTTGAAGCAAATTTCTTACACATTTCTTTAATACATCAAACTGCAAATCTTTAAGAATTCAGTGCTTTTTCATACTGCCATTTCATAGTACTGCAGGAAAATCTCTAGCTGTTGTAGGGAAACAAGAGGAAATTTATATAACCAAAATCTAGGTCTAATTCGGATAATATATATACATATATGCATATATACATACATACATACGTACATATACATATATATTATATATATATATATATTATATATATATATATATATTATATATGTCAAGATCATTATCTATGCGACATTTCAAAAGGTGCATTGGTTCCATTTTCAAAGATGTACATACGTCATGAAGCATTTGTTTACATATTTTTATATTTCTAAAGGCGTATAAATATAGCAAAATCCAGTTATAACAAACCGATTAGTTTGTAGTAATCATCTATAAATGGTTTGTTTGTTTAAATGTTACAATTCATTTTGGGGGAAAGCAATAAGTTCGTCATTTTAACAATTTCTCGTCAGACGCGTCGTTGCTCTCCTCCCGTGCACAGGTCGGCTGAACGCTGGTATTCAAAGTCGTGTTTTACCCTGATGTTATATACTGTAATACTTGATAAGTGTATTAGCGTAACTGTTAAATCGCCTTGTATTGATTTATGATAATTGAGATGAGTCCTTGCCTTCCTCGCATACAGAGAGAGAGAGAGAGAGAGAGAGAGAGAGAGAGAGAGAGAGAGAGAGAGAGAGAGAGAGAGAGAGAGAGCGAGAGAGGAGAAGAGAGAGAGAGAGAGAGAGAGAGAGAGAGAGAGAGAGAGAGAGAGAGAGAGGCGGAAATGATAGAAATGCGGCGAGAACATGCCATAATGCTTTCTTGCTAGGGAACAGTCTATTTGTTATTTATTCAGTTACTTTAATGACCCGTGGACACAGCAACGATGGTATCAATGAATAGATTAAGAAAGAAATTATTTATCACAGGGAAGTGTAAGAGAGGAGAATTGTAAGAGGAAAAGAAGGGGAATGATTGGCTTATTTTCTAGTAAAATCGTGGAAAGAACATGGATAGACTGGTTGTGTGATTCCATGATTTTTGATTCATAATTTGTAGGAAAAAGGAGGGTATACAGATAAG